TCTTTCTTCTGTGAGGTCCAAGAACCCTCTCTCAGGGTCTGGATCGGGACCCCTTTCTGGTAACACATTGGCTAACATCTCTCCAAGCATGCTCCACTCTAACCACTGCAACCTGTAGAAACCACTGTTCTACCTTCTAGTTCTAAGCTTTTTTAGATTTCACATGAGTGAGATCATGTGGTATTTTTGTCTTTTTGTGCTAGACTTATTTTACTTAACATAATGTCCTCCAGATTCTTCCCTGGTTTTGCAAATGACAGGATTTCCTTATTTTTTTATGGCTGAATAGTATTCCATTGTGTATGTCTATCACATTTTCTTTATCCATTCATCTGCTGATAGACACATAGGTTGATTACATATCTTGGCTATTGTGAATAGTGCAGCAATGAATATTGTAGTTCAGATATCTCTTTGACATACTGATTTCATTTTCTTTGGCTACGTACCCAGTAGTGAGATTGCTGGATGATATGGTAGTTTTATTTCTAATTTTTTGAGGAAACTCATACTTTTTTCCTTAATGGCTACATAAATTTGCATACTTAGCAGAGTGAAAGCATTCCCTTCCTTCACATTCTTGCCAATACTTATGTCTGGTGTTTTTGGTAATAGCCATACTAACAGGAATGAGGTGAGATCTCATGTGGTTTTGATTTGCATTTCCCTAATGATTACTGATGTTAAGCATATTTTCAGATACTTCTTGGTCATTTGCCTGTCTTCTTTTGAAAAATGTCTACTCAGATTTTTTGCCAATTTTTAATTTTTTTCTTGCTATTAAGTTGTTTGAGTTCCTTATGTATTTTGAATATTAACCCCATACCAGATGTACAGTTTGCAAATATTTTCTCCCATTCGGTAGACTGTCTCTTCATTATATTGATTGAAATGTTTCCCGCTCCCTGACTTGTCTGTTTCCTCCCTTTTTCTTTTCTATTTGGGCATCTTGTTCTGCCTCCTTTTCCTTTTTCCTTTTCTAATTGATGTGTTTTCATCTCTTTTATTTTGGAAGTTTCCTACATAATTCTTGTGATTCTTTGCTTTTTATTAAAATGGAAATTTAAAGTACCACAATCTGAGTTGGCATTTTTTGTGTAAGGCATGGATCTGGCAAATCCTTCAGCATCATATGCGTACTCACCCATCTGCTTGAGAAACTTTCAAATGTCATGCTTTTGAGGACTTTTTTCTGGAATCATTCCATTTCTTTTGAGAAAATGTCTCTGGTATCCTGTACAGGCGCTATCTGCCTGGCTGTAAACATTCTTATAGCTGATGTCATTGCAGCCCTGGGGTTCCTATTCCACATTTAGACTTTGTCCTAATCTCCCTCTATTGGTTGGGCAGAGTCTGAGGTCTTTCCATTCCTTTTGGTGGTGAAATGGGGTGAAGTTGGGCAGACAGGTAAACAAACTTAAGCATTTTGTCATGGATAGAAATAGGACTCTGGGAAAGCATTAGAGGTGGATGAGAAATACCTTTTGCTGAAGGCTCAGAAGAGGCTGCAAAGAATAATCATCACAACATCTGGGTTTTGAAGTAACCTCTAGGCACACTGATTAATGAGTAGGAGGCAGAGATAAATAAATAAAAGCATTTCCAAGAAGAGGTATCTGCATAAAATGAAGAAGGCTTGGAAAACTATGGTCCATTTCTGAAGCATCAAGGGCTTCAATGCCATAACACTGGCAATTAGTATATGAATTAGAACAGGGAATTAGCACTTTATCTAGTTCAAAGAAAAAAATCAATTTTTTAAAGGATCTAAGGCCTTTGCATTTCTCATTCTAAATTTGAATGTTACTTTATTTGCTTAGTTCAGTCTGTACTAGTTAATGTATTTCAGCTGCATCACTTGCTACTTGTATTTAACAACAAATCATTTAACATCTTTGGTTCTCAGTTGTCTCATCTGTAAAATGAAGCTGCCTGTATCATTCAGGGGTTTTAGTTGTGTGCAAGATAAAGCAACATGCTTATCTAAATAGAAAAGGATTTTGTGAAAGGATATCAGATCTCTCCCAGGAAATAGAAAACTAAGTTTGAATATTATACAATCCTGACAAAACCCAAAATCATACTGCAGAACTATTACCATCCTCACTGCCACCTGCTCTGCACAGACCCTAAGTCCTGCACCACTGACACTCTGCTAGTGTCCTCAGATGCAGCCACTAGACATACTGAGGCTTTGAAAACCACATGTGGCTGTGGTGCTGCCATCTCCCTCGCAAGAATGTGTTTTGTCTAGAGCTGTGGGTCTGACTGGCAGAACCTAGAACCCGTGTTCATGCCCTGTGTATAATGTAATACTGAACAGTTAGCAATGGACTGTTTACAACTTCTTCAGGAAAAAACAGGTTCTGTCTTATAAAGAGGGAGGTGCATTTCCAACCATAAAAAGCAGAGGCAAAAACCGAATTGTCCATAAGAATGACCAATGCCCACATAGTTTAGGCTTACCAAAAGGTTTTTAGAAGATACAAGACATTATAATACAGAAAACTTTGAAAATGTCAGACATTATTAGTATTGTTATCCCTAGTGCCTTCTCATCAAAAAAGGTTCATGAATAAATTCAGTATCATTTATTAATGTGCAACCAATTACCCTCAAAACTTAGTGGGGTATAAGTAATAATAAAAAAAACCTTTATCATTGCAGAGTATCTGTGGTACAGGGATTCAGGAATGGCTGAACTGTGTGGTTCTGATACAATGTTTTTCATAAAGTTGCAGTCATGATACCAGCTGGGACTGGCAGCCTGACGGAAGCTAGAGGGTTTGTTTACAAGCTGGCACCTTCACAGGAGGAGGCCTTGGTTTCTTGATGGCTGTTGGAAATACACATCTGTTCCTGAATGCATGGGCCTTTCCACAGAGCTGCTGGAGTGGCCTCCCTCAGCAAGAGGAAGTTACAATGTCATTTTACAATCTATTCATAGTTGTTCTCCAATATGTCTATCATGTTCTTGTTGGGAGGTAGTCACTAAGTATAGTCTACAGAGGGAATTAAGGCTTCAATGGAGAAAGTAGTTTCAAATATTTTCTGGACATATACTAAACCATCACAGGTTATTATTATTTCACAGATTGACTGAACTAATTACCTTAGGCATAATTTCTAGGCATTTTTGTGTCATAATATGTCAGATGATCTTTCTGATTGGAATTAGCACATCTCCTCCAAAGATATTTATTGGATCTGGCAAAAATCTTTCAGTGCTTAAAAGGAAGAGAGGTTCACACTGCATAACATCTTATCAGCAAAGAAACACATCTCAGTAATAAATGAAATAAGTGTCCTTTTGTTCAGACACCTGAATCCTGCAGTATAGAGATTAACAGATTATAAAGTAAGACATCATTGTCTGGCTATCCCTATTGATGTGGTGGGAGGAAAGGTAGGAGATGATTTTCTTAAGTCAAGTCACTTTTCTGAGAACACCAAAGCATTCTAGGAACACAAATTTGAGGGTCTTCAGAGGCCAAGTAGGTAGAATACATGGGTGAAGACTATAGGGGGTGCTGAGGCCTATAACATTCAAATGCCAGCTAAAAACAATAGCAACAATACCAGGCCAACCCAACAAACCACCTTCCAGTATCCAGTGCTGAGATCTAAGCTCTAATTTGCTTTTCTTTACGTCTAAAGATGTAAAGAACCAGCAAGTTAAGGGAATCCTTGTGGTTCCTTTCTTTCTGTCCTTCCCTCTATCCTAAACTAAGGATTAACCGCACGTCTTAGTCCATCATCTCGAGAGAAAGACAGAGGGCATCATCTTCATCTCTCCCATCTGTTGCACTGAACACACTCTTTCTGTCCAAGGCATTTGGTCTCATATGCATGTCCTCTAGGGGCACATGTTAGGGGCAGTGTGTTTCTTTAAATAGGATGTCATTCCAGGTTTATAATTAGACTGGTTTTGATCATGCTGTGTCCAGGCTGTGTTTCAACAGTATAGAACTTTATACACTAGAAACAAGCCCAAATAGGCACAATATTTACCAAAAACTCTCTATAGTGTAGGTGATGACATCAGTGTTTGGGTTTGAAATATTCAGTGTCCTATTAATTTTTCTGTTATTCAAGGGAGAAAAGGCTGATGTCTTTCAAAACATTCAGAACCTCCAATTTAATATAACCCCACCTTGAATGGCAACTCTAAATGAGTTTTTAATAACCTCTTCTCAGCCCAAGGATTAAGACCAAGGAAAAATAAGAAGGTTTTGTGGCACTTAAATTATGTCAGTTTATAGCATTTCAAAATGCAGTTTGTTCAACAGTGTGATAAGATACAATTTTTCCTTCATTCAGTCTTTTATTCAGTATTTACCAAGTCTTATTGAGCAAGGAGATAAATTGGTGAGCAAACAGACATAGCCCCTCATGGAGTTAATAGTCAATCTAGTACATCAAATTTGCAAACACTGGGAATATGTATATTTAATCCCAAGTTAAATATTTCTGTAGTGGAGAAACTGGCTCTCACACACTGATGAAAGCATTTGCTCCAACTGTTAAAAATTAACTTGAAAAGATATATGGAGAGGCATACAAAATGGGGATACATTTTGACTTAATAATTCTGCTTCCTAACAAAATATTCAACACAGCATATTTCAATTAAAATTTGGAAACAAATGCCCAGCAAGTATGAAGCAGTCATATTACAAAGTATCTATCTGATGGTCTATCAGCTATTAAAAAGGATGATTATGAAGGAAAAACTTATAATGTCATGCTTCAGGGAGAGGATATAAACCCTATCTGTATAACATTACAAATACATAAATACTTTTTAAAAGAGGCAAGAAAGAAATACACTGAGAAAAGGATACTCAAGTTTATTTTAGATTGCTATGGTTTGGAATATCTATTTTTCCTCTTTTTCTTTTCGATATATTTATTTTAAGGTATATGTATTTAATCTTGGAAAATAAATTATACAGAAAGTCCAGCCACTTTTTAAAGAAAATTTATTATTTATTTCACTTTTAAAAATGAAATGCTTCACACACTTGGACATTAGCCTTGTTCAGGGGAGATGCTAGCATTCTCTGCCTCATTCCACGTATACTGTGTGTGCTGTCGAAGCAAGCACAAAGTAAGCTCTTCTTAAAGAAGTTAGAGAGATTATGAAATTTCATCTGAATGGGTGAGATATAAAATTGCATATCATGTTGTTTTTACTTTAGAACTTACAGAGCATTTTGTTATAATATCATATAATACATGCAGAAGAAAATAAGAAATAAAGTGAGGAAGGGACATACTATTACCATAACCAATATACCTGTGTCAGGACCAGAGAAATACATACAGGTCGATATACAATCAGGGGTCTTGTGTGCTGGAACTTTCAGAAACAAAGTCTTGGAGGCCTCTATTTTATCCCATAAGCCAGGCACAGGAAAAGCCCTGAGTCCAGTCAAAGAAATAGGAATTCATGAGTAAGATGTAAAATAAATGAGGTGTGGATATCATTCTGTCAGTTGCTTCCTACTGACTAACCAAGAGCAGATAATTCTGCTTCTGAATTCATTAATTTTGGCAAAAGGTATTGTTGGTCTACCTAATTCAGCTTCTCCGTTTAACAGTCAGGAATCTGAGGCACGTTCACATTATGATTTTTTTTTAGTGGGAATTTTTGCTTTGGGGAGGCCTCTTCATTTATAAACTATATTAAAAAATCATATCTTACAATGTCAAATTAAATATATAGACTCAGGTAAGCAAAGACTTTTATTTTAAAAGAGTACAATTTCTCTCTCCTGCAAAGGAGAGAAAGTGACTTGCAACAGAAGTGGGACTATTGCATTTTGAAGGAAACTTTGACCCTGAGCTATGCAAACCTCTCAAGTGTTAAGCAGTAAAAGATCTTTTCTCTTCTAGGAAGGAACAAACAATGCTAGGAAGAACAGGATGTTGAAAAGTGGAATGAGCTAGGATGAATAATCTTACAATAGAAAAGAGAAAATTCTACCCTATGATCCCTTTATTTTCAGGAGGGAATCTTAAGGAGGGGTTGTATGATGGCTCAAGTAAAAGGCAGGTCCAAGTTCAGGGGCCAGGGGAAAGAGAGGACACTAACTAAAATTGGGTGAATTCAAGGAAGCAGGTATTTTATCGACATTGGTCAGTGGGTGAAACAGTTCAGCTAATCATTAATGACGCAAAGAATGGGAATGTGGAGCATCTGTGTTCAGCTTTGTCATAAAAAAAAAAAAAAAACAAGGTTGACATCAGCAAGTCTTATCTAAGTCACATGGGAAAGGATGTTTCCTTGTATAAGCTGTTCACTGGAACACTAAGGGATGGGAAGGTTCCTTGAACCCTCCATGTTTTCCAGGATCACAGGACTTGGGTAAAGATCAACATGGTCAATGATTATACTGGTACAAAGACCAATACATTAAAACTATATATTACAAGACTTTCTTTTACTTAATTGTTTTTTTTTCTTTTCTCTCTGCCCCCATTTTGTGGGCCCCCAAATTATCATGGATCCTAGGCACCGTCCCTAATGGGTAAGTCAGCCCTGATCTGAGACACAGAGATATTGAGGATCTCTAAGACCACTAAGCCAGCTATGGCAGAGCTCAGAAGAGAGCAACCAGGTCTAGACTTCTTTCCACACTTGTGACTATGAAGACTATGGAGAAGGCTCTGCTCAAGAGGTGGGATGAAGTCTTGGGGATGAGGGGATGTGTGGGGACATTAACTTTGATATAAGAACCTGCAGACTTAGAAGGAAAGGACTGGTGAGGGAAATTCATCATAGAGTTGATGGCTGGAAGTGCCTTAACAGTTGACTGTTCCAGGCACATCATTCAGCAACATATCTTAGGTATCTGCTACACGCTTGGTGTCCCTGCCTTTACAGAGCTTACAGTCAAGCAGAGGAGGCCAACGCACAAGAAATGGTATTCAGTTGTGACAAGTGTAATGAGAGAGGAAAAGGGCACATTAAGAGGGAGTAACAGGCACACGTAACCTGCATGGGGAAAGCGAGGTTCCAGATGAATTCCAAATAGAAACAAACCAGGCCCAGAGGATGCAGAAAGTAAGAGGAATGTTTTAGTACAAAATGTTGCATGCAGGAAAACCCAGGATGTATGAGGTTTAAGGGGTGGAAAACCTGTGATCTTGCTTTGGTTTTGCCAAATAGCCTTAAAATTCGGGAAGTCATATATCAGTGAAAGAAAGGAGCAGTTAAAGTCTCTCCCCAACCTGCTTCTAGGAGTTTTAGAATCCAAGACTAAGGAGCCAATAGGATTTGGAGGGTAAAGTCATGTGACTGAGAAAACTTTAAAAAAAAAAAAAAAAAAGGCAGTGTCTCCCTACCCCAGGTTTTCCCAAACCACCCAGTCATTCAGGTGAGGTACTTGGTCCATCCACAGCAGGCTAGGATGCTGGTTTCAATGCTGAATTTTTAACCCACTCTTGATACTTTTGATGACTTTTCCCTACGCAGGTTACATTTTTTGTTTTGTGTATTTTTTACTTTTTTGTTTGCTGATAGAGTCTTGCTCTGTCTCTTAGGTGAAGTACAGTGGTACAATTAGGGCTAGCTGCAGCCTCGACCTTGCAGACTCAGCCTCCAGAGTAACCGGTACCACAGGTGTGCAGCGACCACACCTGGCTAATTTTTATATTTTTTGTGGAGACAGGGGTCTCCTCATATTGTCCAGGCTGATCTCAAACTCTTGGGCTTAAGCAATCCATCCACCTCAGCCTTCTAAAGTTCTGAGATTACAGGCGTGAGCCACCATGCCCAAGAGGCTGCAGTCTTGAGGAAAACTTCCTTCCCTCCCTTATCTAAAGATCCTGGATATACTAATTTCTTTTCTTTTGGGGATACGCCCAGCAGTGGGATTGCCGGATCATATGGTAGCTTTATTTTTAGTTTTTTGAACTAAAAATAGAACACTTTTTCAAACTGTTCTCCATAGTGGTTGTACTAATTTATGTTGCCACCAAGAGTGTATGAGGGTTCCCTTCTCACCACAGCTTTGTCAGCATTTGTTATTGCCTGTCTTTGGATACGAGCCATTTGAACTTGGATGAGATGGTCTCTCATTGTTTTGATTTGTATTTCTCTGATAATCAATCATGTTGAGCACCTTTTCATATGCCTGTTTGCCAATTGTATATCTTCTTTTGAAAAGTTTCTTTTGGGGTCTTTTGCACGTTTTTATATTTATTTAGAGATGGAGTTCACTCTGTCACCCAGATTGGAGTGCAGTGGTGCAATTTCAGCTCACTGAAGCCTCCACCTCCCGGATTCGAGCGATTCTTCTGCCTCAGTCTCTGGAAAAGCATCGACTACAGGCAAGCACTACCATGCCCAGCTAATTTCTGTATTTTCAGTAGAGACAGAGTTTCACCATGTTGACCAGGATGGTCTTGAACTCCTGACCTCAAAGTGATTCACCCACCCCAACCTCCAAAAGTGCTAGGATTACAAACATGAGCCACTGTGCCAAGACTTTTGCCCATTTTTAAGCTGAGTTATTATATTTTTTCCTATAGAGTTAAGCTCCTTAGTACAACCACCACGGAGAATAGTTTGGAGCTTTCCCAAAAAGCTAAAAATAGAACTACCATACGATCCAGCAATCCCATTGCTAGGTATATACTCAAAAGAAAGAAAATCGGTATATCTAAGAGATATCTACACTCTCATGTTTATTGCAGCACTGTTCACAATAGCCAAGATTTAAAATCAACCTAAGTTGTCCATCAGCCGATAAACGGATAAGGAAAATGTGATACATATACACAGTAGAGTACTATTCAGCAATAAAAAGAATGAGATCCTGTCATTTGCAACAACATGGATGGAACTGAAGATCATTATGTTAAGTGAAATAAGCCAGGCATAGAAAGGCAAACTTCTCATGTTCTCACTTATTTGTGGGCCCTAAAAATTAAAACGATTTAACTCATGAAGATAGAGAATAGGAGGATGGTTATCAAAGGCTGCGAAGGGAAGTGTGGGGTGGGGTAGTGAGGGGAGGTGAGAATGGTAAATGGGTAGAAAGAAACAGAAAGAATGAATAACACCTACTATTTGGTGGCACAGCAGGGTGAATGAAGTCAATAATAATATAATGGTGGAGTTAAAAATAACTATAAGAGTATAATTGGATTGTTTGTAATAGAAGGGATAAATGCTTGAGATGACGGAAACCTCATTTACCCTGATGTAATTATTACACATTGTTTGTCTGTATCAAAATATGCCATATACCCCATAAATATATACACCTGCAGCGTCCTCCCAAAAACAAACTAACGACAACAACAAAAAAGATTGAGATGTTCATTCCCTGCCAGTGCCTAGGGTCAAGCGTTCACATAACCTGGGCTCTTTTGATGTACTCCCTCCCTAACTAATTCTCTCCAGCCCTGAGAGGACAGGAAACCACAGGTTGCTGTCAAGCCCTTTCCAGCCGCCACCGCAAGTGAGAGAGGGAGGGGGGCGGAGGGCCAGGGCTGTAGGAAGGGAGAGCGGGGTCACCGGCCCGCCGGCGGCTGGGGCCAGAACTGACCGGGTCTGCGCTCGGCGGACTGGGGCGGGGCGGGACCGGTGACCTTAAGCGGAGACCTTCCAGCTTGCTGCCCCGCCGCCCAGCGCCAGTCTGCGAGCCCCTGTCGTTCCTCCGCCCCTCGGCTCAGGTAAGGCAGTCACCCCGAGAGCTCAGCTCCTTCTGCCCGGTCGCAGGCGGGGGGTCTTCGGCTGCGCCTGGCTGGTGCAGCCGTGCACCTTCCTGCCCTCAGAGCCCGGCGCAGAAGGGGACTGTGCCTGGCCTGCGCTTGGATGCATCTGGGCGGGAAAAAGGGTGGGCGTGCGCAGCGCTGTCTCTAACCCCTTCCTTTTGCTCTAAGTTCTTGCCCTTGGGATTCGGAAAAGTACCTCTTCAAACTCTTTTCCAGAAGTGGCATCAGGAATGAACAAAGCTGCTCATCCCGCAGTATCCCTACCTGAGCTCCTGGGAGGAGTGGGCCCCTGACATGTTTAGGAACCTGCCTTTTGCTTATTAGGGTAATTTCTTGGAACTAGGGAATTGGACTTTCATGGAATGGAATTAGTTGAAT